AAACCAACTTGACTGTGAAATCTTTCAACTCTTTTTAGGTACAAAATCCTCTGTTTTTTTTTTCTCATTAAAAATCTTTATTTACAAACAACAAAAACATATAAATCCATATTCATTTCATTTCATTTCCCCTTTTAAACCCCTTATTCCTCAGAAATATCGTCTTTAAGCTTCAGTACTCGTGAGTAACGATCGAATGCCTCAGCAACCTCAACTGTCGAGTTTTGTGTAGGATCAAGCGAAATGACATTTCCGTCCTCTACATAAAAACACATAAAATGTTAGTTATAACTACTACTAATACTACTACTTCTACTATTACTACGTCACATAAAACAATTTTTTTTTTAATCAATACTCACTAAAAGTCACGGAAATCACAGAAGGCTCAGTCGACGATGGTGCAAGAATCTTCTGTGTCAAAGCAATGGACGCGTTACGGCTTTTGGGAGGAATGTTGCTCAGAAACACGCGCGCAGGTTTGGCTATGATTAATTAAAATTAATTCGTTAATATCTATCAACATCCTTCTTTTTCTTTCTTTCTTCTTCTTCTTCTTCTTCTTCTTCTTTTTTTTTTTTTTTTTCAAAATGAATCATTGCAACTTACCGGCAGCAACAAGGGGGTTGAAAGAAACAGAGACCTTGGCAAAGTACTTGGTGATCATTGTGTGATGATATGATGTTGATTTATGCTGGAGAAGGTTGACTGTGATGATGATGATGGTGGTGGTGATGAAAAAAAAAAAAATTATGTGAAAAGGAGGAAACCCTCTAAAGGGAAAAAAGAAAAAAAAAAAATTTCAACCAAACCTCTGATTGGGCGTCTAAAATGTTTAAGTCTTAAGTTACATATTTTAAAGTATAACATTTAAGTATTAAATATTAACTAGTGATAGTGATTATTTCATCGTTAAGTTCCTCCACACATCGATAAACAGGCTCACCTAGTTTAAAACCTCCAACCTTCCCAACATCTTCTTTTTCTTTCCTCTACAAACATTCTTATCCCCCCCCCCCTTCACCTCCCCCTTCTTCATTCTTCCAATGGCAACAGCTGCCGACCAGATCCCTGACGATGATGACGAAGACAGATCCGGGCCTCCTCCTGTTTCTCTTTCTGCATCTGTCGTTCTTGCCGCACTCCCTGCTGATTCCTCACAACTTTTGTCGCGCACCGCTGCAACTGCTGCTTCCATAGCTGCTGCAACAAAAGTAACACTCCGCTTAAGACCAATAGGTTCCGCTGCCCCGCTTAAACAATCTGTTTATCGTATTCCAGGTGCACAAACGTTTGCTTCTCTTGTCAAATTCTTAAGAAAACAACTCAAGTGTCCACCTTCTCAATCAATTTTTTGTTATATCAATAACTCTTTTGCTCCTGCACTGGACGAGCCTCTAATTAACCTATATCATAACTTTGCAGTCGACGAACATCTTATCATTTCTTATTGTTACACTGTAGCTTTTGGCTAATCAAGAAAAAAAAAAAAAAAAAAACCAACCCTTTATTTATTTACTTTTATATATATTCTTACAACTCATCATTGACAGGAGAAACAAAGTAACCCTTAGGCAAGTTCTTTCTTCTTTCCTTAAAGTGTCCCTTATTGCATCTAATCACAAAGTCTGCAATATTTGATGGTGTAAGCTCAGTTTTTTTATGGAAATTAATGTAGTATCCTTCCTTGGCATTAATATAAACAACGTTGGGTGGGTGGTCCCAATTAGCAGAGGGCTTCATGTTGCTTAGCCCAGCCCGTTGCAAGTTCTTAATTTGTTGCTCAAGGTCTTGTGTCGGCCATGGGTCAGGGTAGTATGGCTTTAATCCAAATGCATTTACCATGCCTGCAACTTCGTCATTTTCATCTTCCGTCGTGTCAATCATATGCATCCAGTTTACTGAAGTCAATCCACGCGGCATCTTTTCAGTAGGCTCAAATCTAGTTTCCACACTGCTAAACATCTTCAACCCATCCATTTGCATATTCACACCAATTGCAGCAACAACACACGGTTTGCTTGTAGTCTGGAAACAGCGCTTTCGCAAATCAGCTCCGGTAAATAACCGGTTTGCAAAAAGTCTATGCTGGTTACTCTCAGTAGGCTTTAGAGGTCCCTCGAACCCTGTAGCTTCAGCCTCGGCATAGTTCCACTTAGAACTGGTTTTAGGAGTTGACCGTTTGTCCTTTTTAGGAACTTTCACCTGTCTCTTCTTAAAAGCTTTTAGTTTTTTCTTGGGTCTCTTAGCAGGATCCAGAGCGTCAAACTGCTCAAGATGCTCGGAAAGAAAATCAGCAATATTCTCACGTCGCATCGATCCGGTATAAAAAATAGGGCTCGAGTCATTCCCCTTGGGGTAAAAGGCTAATACAGACAAACTGGGGTTGAAATCAGAAGTATCAAAATTAATGTCCTTGAGAGTCTGTTTAGCGTGCTTATATGGAACAAACCCAAAAACTGGGCCTTCAGGATCACCTAGAGGATGGAAATCAATGGACAGTGATTTAAACAGCGAAGGAGAGGATTTGCTTAGGTGTGTTTTGCCGGAAATGAGTAATACTCTAGGGCTTTCTTCATACTTTTTGATAAACTGGGGTGCAGATGAGATTGTCTTAGTGTAACCTCTAATATTTTCCATCACCTCCTTGCGGATTGGCACACTCTTACGAGCACCTAGGTAATCCTTAAGAAAGTCAGAGCCAATCTTTCCCTCACCCTTGGGGCCAAAAAGCTTAAGCGTCGGGTATCCCTTGACACGGAACTGGTTGCAAATAACACGATTCCTGTCCTCGTTACAGTTAATGGCTGCCACATTGGCAACACCCTTAAGAGATTTAGCTGTCTTGATGTACTCAGATTTGAGTTCCTTACAGTGGCCACACCATGGCGCATAAAACTCGACTAGCGTAAGGTGCTGGGTGTCGAAAACTATTGAGCGGAAGTTATTGGCATCAACCTCAATGACTGGCGACGACGGATACTCGTAAAAGCCCGGCAGTGAGGCCTGTGCAATCGCCACTAACGTGGTCAAAAGAACGAATGTAAGAAAGGGCCGAATCACGTAGGCCATATTTCTGATTGTGATGTTTGTTGAAAAGGGAAGAAAAAAAAAATGAAGTTTGAATGTTTGTAAGCTTGATTTGTAAGTATTAAAAATAAAAAAAAAAAGAGGAGAGGAAAAAAAAAAAAAAAAACAAATCGAGAGAATAGGCGGAATTACAAGGAGGTAGGCTTAGCCACGTATCCAGAAAAAAAATAGCCGTTAGTTAGTCTTTATTAGTAAATCACCCAAATTCGGTAGAACACACGCAAGGCGCCCAAACTAGGCTTGTTGCGATTCCGCCCTGGTTATTAAAATATAAAAAATAAAAATTTGGAGATTTTTTCAAACATTTTTAGTTCTTTTTTTTTTTTTTCAATTGTTTTGTCACCGTCATGATTTAAAAAGTGATTAGAAATTAGTTAGGTTATACAAGTTTTGTAATAGATCTTAATCAAGATGAAAAAAAAAAAAAAATTGTTTTTTTGGGCTTAGAGTTGAATAATTTAACCCTATTTAACCGATTTCTATGCATAGTTTATATATTATTTCAAGAATTTAATAAAAAAATTTAAGCTTATTATTCATTAAAATAATATAAAATTAATATTAATTCATATATATCATTAAAGAATTGCTAAAAAGCCATTTAATCATTATAAATGATTAATGTATGATATCTTTTTCAGAAAAAAAAAATTGTACCTGTAGATATAAAAATATTTGAGGGAAGAGGCTTTAATGTATTGCTTAATCAAATATCAAATAGCTAAAGTTGACTCAATTATTTCTTTTTTTTTTTCTACATTTCTATTTCAATTTTTTTTCGAGGCTATTTAATTCTTTGAACTTGTTAAACTGAAAGCAGCCACTAATGTAAATTGTTTTTTTTTTTTTTTTTTTTTTTTTTCATGATAACGACTTGTCGTGTACCTCTTATTAATGAACGCAACTAAATATTTAGTAAGGCACTAATCCATGCTTAATATTCCTGCTTAAGTATTTTTTCAAGAAAAAAAAAAGGACATAGTCTCCCGTTTAAAATAACATTGTTATTTAGTTGTTAATAAATCCTGGAAATCCATATAATGATAATTTCATTCTAACCAATGGTAATATTTGATGTTGATAACATTTAATTTTCATAAATAGCAAGGATGAATGTGTCTTGTCAAAGTCATTAGGACAATTAAATTAATCATCATCATATCTTAATTAGGTTTAAATAAAATTGACTCATGAATATGAAAAACTGTGAATATCATCATGAACTAACTCATTTAAAAAAAATTCCCAGATTTATATTTAAGATCGATATTAGTTTTTTTTATTGTATGTCCAGTAGTTTAGTTGGGCAATTAAGATGATACCGTTTTTGAGTAGCTACTCTACAACTTCATCTGCATTTCTAAATGAATTTTCTCTGGATTCTTATATTATGAAAGTTGGATTGTAATCACCAATTATAATAATCTTAGAATACAGTTCTTTAATCTTTCGTTTAAAAAACAAAATCAAAACCCGTTGCTTGGGGTATTTATTAAATGACTAAAGTTGATTATAGACATTAAAAATTGAAAAAAAAAACCTTTAACAAAAATAGTGACCATATCTTAATTTGTTAAATAGTTACAAATTTTATTAGTTAATTCAGGTAAATCAGGGTTAAACTAAATATAAAGTAATTCTTCTTCATCATCTTTTTTATACAATTTGGAATCCAATCTCTGTGATTTATGTCTTCATAATTATTGAAGAAAGGTTTTTGTTAAAACAAAAATCACAATTTCTTTTTTTTTGTCTAAGATAGTTTTAGTGATAATTTATAAAAAAAAAAAAAACTTTTTAATTGATTTGATATATGAGAGTCGTTTTATTTCTAATTTTGATTAAATTCATTTTGTTCTTCAATAATTGTTTTGTCCATTGACTCCTTTTGTGAGTCGATGATAGATCTTATTTCAGTTTTTACTTGTTTTTATTTTTTTATCATCTAAACATTCATACCAAAGTTTTTTTTTTTTTTTTTTCAAATGCTTTTGATCTTTTTATAAAAGGTCTAATTTGAACTTTGAATTCAATATACTGAATAACAAATTTGTGAGCCCATTTTTTTTTAAAATAAATCTATTTTTTTTTTAAGTATGAGTAAATGGGGTTTTAATAATGATTTTAAACTCAATGGATAAAAATGATATGATGGTCATTATAAAGAGAAATATAGAACACCTTTCAGGTTTTCAATTGTTACTGAATTTTGAGTTTATCTTGGAGCACCGATTTATGACGAAGTTTTGTGTCAAGAAAAGGATATGTGGTATCAATCTTGGGAAAGTCTATTTTAAAATTTGATCAGAAATCAACTATACATGATATAATTTTTTTTTCAATGCTGTCCTTTTGATAAAAAAAAAAGGAATCAAAATGATTTTGCACGATTGTAATTTTTGTTTTTTGTTTTTTTTGTAACAAGATGTTGATAAAGTCTATTTCATGAATTACGCATACGTATAGTATACTGGTATGTTTCATTAAAATGATATTCAATCGGGAAAAAGATAAAAAAAATTTTTTTTTTCTAAGCTCAGATTAACTTAAAGGTGGTAGTAAAGAAGCAGTATACGAAATGTTTTTTTTCTGAACAGATGAATACGTAAGAGAATATAAAACAAATAAAACTGAATGTAGAAACGACAGAGTTTGAGATTAAAAGACTTGTGGAAAATGTGCATTTTAAAAAGATCCCATAAAAAAAAAAGTAAATTGAGTGGATATCATAGTGTAATGAAATAAATGACTTTCCAAGCTTTTGTTTTTGTGAGGGGTATTTAAAATCATTCATATTGTAAAAGTTATTTATTTAATAAGACTTGAAAACTAATATTTAATTAAATTTTTGAATTTCAAGTAAATTTTAAAAGTTAATTGCCTTATTTTTTTTTAAACAAAAATCACAAGAATTAAAAAAAATTTTAAATTTTTTTAAAAGTTAAAAAAATATTGGCGGAAATGCCGTTTGTTTTTTTTTTCATTTTTGTTGGATGAGAACAACAATAATAGCAGCAGTATATTTTTAATAATATCAATCAACAGTGACAGTAATGGTAGTGTTAGTATTAATAATAAATTACCAGTTTCTAATAGTTCTAAGATTAATTAGTCAACTTATAAGTTATTTTTTTAATATATATATATATATATATGGTGATTACCAATTCCTTATGAGAAATTGGTTAGCACCATAGATTAAGTATTGTGAGTAAATAGTTTGTTTTCCCATAATTAGAGTGTAAGGAAGGTTTTGAAAGATATTATATATAGATATAAAAAGAGATATGAATCGAGCTACAGTCTCAGTTCACAACTTTTACAAGTCAAAATAGGAGTATTGAGACGTTACTGGTCAAAATGTCTAAAGTATAGCTACCAGAAATAGGATTAAATAAAAAAAAGGGAAGAAGTTGAAAGTTGATGTAGATGTAGACGTAGACGTTTAATTAAATAAACGTTTAAGAAGAAGGGATGGTTGGAATTTATTTATTTGGTTGTGAAGCAGGAAGTTTTTTTTTATTTTTCTTGCGCCAACCTGAGTGTATGAATAATTATTCCTTAAGGGCTAGGGTTTTCTTTTTTTTCTTATTAAAACACTTAATTTTTTTAATTTTTTTAATTTTTTTAATTTTTTAATTTTTTAATTTTTTAATTTTTTAATTTTTTAATTTTTTAATTTTTTAATTTTTTAATTTTTTAATTTTTTAATTTCCCTTCCTCCCCCTTTCTTCTCCACAAACTCAATTTTTTTTTTTTTGCTTTTAATTAAGAAAATAATAACAAAAGAAAAGTTGTGGCTTGTGAATTTGTGCAAATCATCAAAAATACTTGCACTGATTAAAAAAAAAAAAAAAAAAAAAAATTATAATTAATAAATTTATATAATAGCAAAAAAAAAAAAAGAAAAAAAAATTTTTTTTTTTTTTGAATATATAAATACAATTGGAATTCTGTCAATATTTATTTTTTTATATATTTCCATATTTTTTATATTTTTCTTTTCTATCTACCAAAAATACTCATGAAATTAGTGGACTATTCCTCAGACTCTGAGCAAGAAGAAGAACAAGAAGAAAAACAAAAACAAGTAAAATCTACACTGCCAGCAAAGTCTTTACAAGGGAAAATTCTAAATAATGACAATATCAATGATGATTCTTGTTTAATACCAGCAGCCACTAATAACTCTTCTCTTATACCAAACAACAAGCCCATTTCTTCAATAATAGATGATGACACTAAATACTCTAACCCCTCTTCAGATGACGATGCTCGTACCATGATTAGACAACTGACAAAGCCTAACTCTTCATATACATGTAATAATAACCAAACATCCAAATCTTCAAGAATTTATCAACTTGCACAACTCAAAAGCCCAAAATATAGAAGTAATAAGCCACTAGTACATATCCATACACGAATGGCTGCAACACAACTGGACATGTTACGACCTGGATGGGCTGATGAGCAACTGGCACAATCATATGGTCTTGATTTCTATACAAATGCTACAACTTTTTCAAAAGTTTTGCCACAAGCTAGTCAACTACCAACACTGCAACAACTTCAAGTACAATCAAGGCAAAAGCCCAGAACCCGGATCGAGTTTTTAGCCAAAAAAAATTAAAATTAAGATATTAAAAAAAAAAAAATTTTTAAGAAAAAGGGAAAAAAAAAGGAAATATATTCTATCAAGCCAAAAAAAAAAAAGAAAAAAATTAAGATTATTACAATTGTTTTTTTCTTTTTTAAGCAGTAGCCTTGGCAAGGGCCTGTTCAATATCAGCCAGGATATCCTCAGAGTCCTCGATACCCACAGACAAGCGGATCAAGTCATCAAAGACACCAGAGGCCTCACGCTTATCCTTGGGGATACCAGCGTGAGTCATTTGAGCAGGGACCTCGCAGAGTGACTCAATGCCACCGAGAGACTCGGCCAGAGTGAAGATCTTGGTAGAAGCGCAAAACTTGTTGGCAGCATCAGCACCACCCTTAATACGGAAAGACACCATACCACCACCAAGGCCATCACGATGCTGCTTGAGAACCACATCACGTTTGGGGTGAGACTTGAGGCCAGGATAAGAGACGGCAACGACGGTAGAGCCAATTGCGTTTTCAAGGTACTGTGCAACAGCAAGAGCGTTTGAGGAGGCAGCACGGGCGCGGAGATGGAGGGTCTTAAGACCTCTGTGGGCCAGCCACGAGTCAAAGGGGGAAGGGATGGCGCCAAGGGCGTTTTGAAGGAAGCGGAGCTTTTCATGAATAAGGTCATTGGAGGTGGCAGCAACACCCATGACCACGTCTGAGTGACCATTAATGTATTTTGTAACAGAGTGGACAACGACGTCAGCACCATGGGCGAGTGGGTTTTGAATGTAGGGAGAGAGGAAGGTATTGTCGACAACCAGGTAGATGGGGTTAGGGGTAGGAGAAGCAGCGGCACGAGTAGCACGTTCCTTGGCAATGATTTGAGCCACGACAGAAATATCAGTGACGGTAAGGGTAGGGTTTGAGGGGGACTCTATCCAGACGAGGGAAGTTTCACGGGTGAGAGCTTGTTCAAGTTCCTGTTCAATAAGGTTTGTAAAGGCCACATCGACTGAGTGAGCATGGGCAACCTTTGTAAAGTATCTGTGAGTTCCTCCATAGACATCGCCAATTGAGACGAGGTGGGTATTTGATGCCAGAGCTTGGAGGACATTTGCAGTAGCAGCAGAGCCTGAGGAATAACCAAGAGCGTACTTTGCACCTTCGAGAGCAGCGACAGCAGTTTCAAAGCCATCACGGTTGGGGTTTGCTGAGCGGGAGTACTCATAGTCACCTAGGGGGACAGCTGGCTTGCTCTGGGCAAAAGTTGTAGAAAGGGAAATTGCAGGAATAACAGCACCAGTGGAAGCATCAGCCTGGGAGCCTGCATGGACGGCAAGGGTAGCGAAGTTGGATGTATTTGAGACAGTCATGGTAGTAGTATTAATATTAGTATGAAAGGGTATATGTATATTAATGAATATATATATAAATATAAAAGAATAAAAGGAAAGAAAGAAAGAAAGAAAAGAAAAAAAAAAAATTTTTTTTAAAGAAAAGAAAGGGGAATTAGTGGTGTTTTTATAGTCTAAGCAAAAAAAAAAAAAAATAATAATATAAAATAAAATAAAATAAAATAAAAAGAGAGAAAGATACAGAAAATTTGCAAAGGCCAGAGAATTTTTTTTTATTATTATTATTAATTTATATTAAATTTTATTTATAATTTATTTATTTATTAAAAAAAAAATTTTATTTATGATTATTATTATTATTATTATTATTATTAGCAAGTCCTGGCGGATTTTGTTAGTTCATTTGTCTGTTTGTTTGTTTGATGGATTTGATGTTTGAAATCAAAAAATGTCCCAGCTGAGTCAAGAGAAAAAAAAAAAAAAAAAACCTCCCCCGGAGAGATGGTGGTAAGTAATTAATTACCTTATAAGTAAAATAGTAGTAGTATTTAGTAGTAATATATATATATATGGTCATGTGATATTGCGTGCTCAATGCAAATTTTTCAAAAAAAATTACGTAACTCCAAAGCCCGTGTGAGGCTGAAACATAAATAAGAGGAGAAGAAGAAGGAGTAGTAAAAGGGGACGTTTTTTTTTTTTATTACAATATATATATATATATATATAAGTATTACAAATCAAATCTAACTAAATCAAACTAAATCAAATTAAAGTCCCGTCAAGAACCGAAACCAACCGGATCTTCTATACTCTTCCACCCGGGTCTTCGGGTATGGCATCATGGCACGGGGATCTTTCAATTGTTAGTATCATTATTAATGTTAAAAATTAAAAACAAGAAGGGGAAGTTCATTCACATATTCTATATATATATAAATATAATGCAACAGCAATTGTTACTAAATAAACATTCATTCATTCATTCATTCATTCATTCATTCATTCATTCATTAATTCATTAATTCATTCATACACTCATGCAATCATATTCTCACTCATAAACGCCGCTTTGGCGAACTGCAAACCGAGCAAGACGTGCCCGCTCTGAGTCACCTATAACCCGAAGTTCCCGCACTGCACGTTCCAGAGCCATTTCTCTACGATGCATATCAGTCAATCGGTGTGATTTTTGCCAAAGCCGTTGGAGTGTAGCTGAACCACAAAACCGTTCAAGACCATCCTCTGCATCAGCCCAACTGCGAGAAGGAGCACCTGGAACAGTATCTGCAATTTTATCACGACAAGCTGCTAAAGGTACCCAAAGCTGAAGGTCTGCATCAAAAGCGTGATCTTCAAATTCAGGTTTGCTCCAATTCTGGTACTCCTCTTGTAAAATGTGTTCATAGGAAGAGGGTACATAAGCAGGAGCACCTTGGAATAACGTGCGGCGCAGGGGGTATAAATCTGAGATTTTATAAAAATGGTTATTTTTGCATGCAAACCAGCCATCTGGTTGGCTAGGATGTCTAGCCACACCAGTCAAGTCAATGTAAACACCAGTAGCGGTATCAATAAACCGGGCATCAATCAAATTATTTCTATTACCACTCTCACGTTCAATATATGAAGGTGCAACCTCCAAAAGGTACCTACCAGAAGAATCTCCATGATGGGCCGGCGTCTCAACAATCAATGTATTATTATACTTGCGAGCGATGCGGTCCAATTCACGAACAGGCATTTGGAGATCCATATCAATATCAAATGGCATTGAAAGACCGTTCCAATACCATCCAAGGAGTGTACCATGAGCTAACCAAAAGAGAACTCCCTCTTGTTCAGCAAACCTGGACCATGCACGGAATAGACGATGCATAGCTTGAGTATTTTCATCACCACGCATTTCATGGTTAAAAAACCGCCAATCCATATGACGGTAATATACCATAGACCCACGACGTACAACAGCTTCATGGAAAAATTTAGGTGTTTTGTCAATAACAGCAAGGGTTGATGCAATACGTTGGCCATGGACCATTTGTTCTAGAGTTTGATTTGGATCAGTTGAGATATGAGAAGTTGCATTATAATAAAAGTTTTCCTTGGTGTTAGGGTCAGCAAGAAGTACACGTTGGGCAGTAACAGTCAAAGCTTGGGCCAAATTTGCTGGAGAATGTCGGTGAGGTGATTTAAGTTCATCATAAATAGGAGGAAGAAGAGATTCCTGATGGATTTCATTATTAACTCTTCGTGTGTATTCATCTTCTGTGGGCAAACATGTTTGAGTAAAATCTTTTGTTTTCTTTTTTTTAATCAAGCGAGATTTAAGTTTAGAAATAAGCGAAGAAGGTTGATTAGTAGTAGTGACTGGAGGAGTAGGGGGTAAAATCATGCGGCGTGGAGGAAGGGATTTGCATTGAGATTTAGGTGTAAGAACTAGAGTTGAGGACTTGAGGCGAGGCCACACTGCACCACCAAAACGGTCAAAATGAGGAATCATTTTGGATGCATATTTAAGAGAGGTTTGAAAGATTGTGTTTGCACCTATTGGGATATTAGATGTGTTATTATTGTTATTATTAAGTTTAGGAAGAGGAGGAAAATGAGATGTTGATGCAGAAGAAGATGCAGATGCTGATGAAGATGAAGATGAAGATGCTGATTCTTCTTCTAAGCTCCGTTTTTCAGGTGCAACTGAAGTATCAGCCAGAATGGGACCCAAGTCAGGAACAGCTGGAATAATTTCTGCACGTTCCATGACTGATTCAGGAATATCAAATTGAGATGGAGGGTCAAGGAAAAGGATTTTTGCAGGAGCCGGGGCATGGAAAGCAAGATACATATGGGCAAGCCATCTCATATCTTCCGCTGTTCCTGCAGAACCTACTAGTGGAAGGACAAATGGGATATCTTCACCATGGGAGGTAGCGAATTTAGTAGGGGAACCTTGTGCTGGGAGGTATTGGTCAGAAATGTTTTTCCAATCAGCCCAAGAAAATGCATAGTTTGAGCCGAGGGAAGCGATACGACGAATACCTCTATCTTGGGAATATTCAGATAGGGGGAAAGTATCATTTGAAGGTGGTAAGATAGAAGGGTGAGTATAAAATAGAAGAAGAAGGAGAGTATAAACAATGACGACAGGAAGGAAAAGTTTTGAACGAGATAATTTAACAATTTCATGTGATAGTTTTAGTAGGAGATGTTTTATTCTTGCAGAAAAGGTAGGGTTTTGAGGTGTTATGTGTGGGTAATAAGGTAGAAGGGTTGAATCTGAGAAAGTTGATAATGCGGAATTTGAGCGGGACCTTAAATCATTTTCTTTTGCTAATTGGAGTTGAAGGATTTTTTGGTAATGGGTAGTAGTAGGTGGAGGGGATGAGTAATGATGATTAGGAGAGGAAGAAGAAGAAAAAGTTGTTGTTGTTGATGATGGTGTTGTTGTTTTTATTAAAGATGAAGATTCATTTAAACGTGGCCATGGAGAGAGTTCATCATCATCTGAAGAGTATCTTGGTGTATGAGATTGGGAAGAATCAAAGGAGAGTTTTTCCGAGACCTGCTCTGGTTGGGATGTTGGCATTTTTTGTTTTTTTGTTTTTTGTTGTATTTTATTATTTAAGAGTAAAGATCAACTTTTTTTTTTTCTTTTAATGAGTAAAAAATAGATAGATAAATAGATAAAAAAAAAAAAAAAAAAAAAAGGGGGGATAGAAGGAAAAGGGAGGACTTAAATATTATTATATAAATAATAATAAAAATAAATAAAAATTTTGAGAGAAAAAAAAAAAAAAAAAAAAAAAAGTCGCAAGAGATTATTGAATTGTGTGGGGCTGGCCAGGCACAGTTAAAGGAGGATTTTTTTTTTCTTGTGTTTGTTAATAATTAATTATTGTTGTTATTGTTGTTGTTAACAAAGCGTACACGCGACCACAGTTGAGACTTCTTTGTGTTTGAAAAAAAAAAAAAAAAAAAAGTTAAAGAAAGGAGGTTTTTTTTATTATTATTTATTATTATTTTTTTAAGATAAGGTATTATGATGATGATGATGATAACAATAATAAATCTACTTTTATGAAAAATATATTATATATAGATTTTGTTCTACTATTTAATATATATATATATATATAAAGTTTTTTTTTTTTTTTATATTTTTCATATTTTCGTAATTACGGAAGTCATTTTGAGACGTGTTTTACAGTTTAAAAGTATCTTTATATCTTGTAATGTTTTATTTATTATTTATTAAAAAAAAAAAAAAAAAAAAAAAAAGTCCCTCATTTATTTTTCAATACGTCGTCGTCGTCAAATTTTTTAACAACGTCGTCGTCATCATCTTTTAATCATAATAAAATAAAAAAATAAAATAAAATAAAAAGTTTTCTGTCTGAAATGTCTTTTTTATACTTATATATATATATATATATATATATATATATACGTGTATGTATTAGAGTTGGAGAGAAAAAAAAATCACCAAAATAAAATAAAAAAAAAAAAAAATTTTTTTTATAAATCGATGACGTTGTCAAGTTATTTTTTTTTTATTTTATTTTATTTTATTATTTTATATTTTTATTGTATATTCGTTCGTAATAAGTGACTTGCTCCTTTTTTCCTGTTTTATATATATAAAAAAATATTTTTTTTTTTTCAGCTCCTTAACACTACGTTAAGTACAAAAAAAATAATTAAAAGGAGGCGCCAGATAGGAAATCTCAACAGTGTGCACGCGATTGTGGCTAAACATGCGCATGCCATATACATATATATATATATATATATATATATATGATTATTCAGGTATTACGTAAGGTAACGGTCTATGACATTACAAATAATTATATTCTGTTACAAATTATGTAACAATAACAAAAAAAAATAATAATTCATTATTTTAATTATATAATTAGTTTAAAATAATTATTATAATAATCATAATAATAATAATTTTTTTTTATAAAACACGCGGCTGTAACTTTTAATTTATTATTTTTTTTTTTAGTTTTAGTTAGTTTCAGTTAGTTTCAGTTAGTTTTAATTTTTTTTTTTTAATTTTGCAACACGTTGGTACACACAGACCGCCCATTGTTGCAACAAGGCCACTTACACTTACACTTACACTAACACACACTCACTAACTCACTAATACTCACCCATTTACAAAAACGTAGCGCCACTTTAACAAAAAAAAAAAAAAAAGTGGGTTGTCTCTTACCTTTTTTATATATATATATATATATATATATTTTATTTTTTTATATATTTTGGTTGGTTGGCTGGCTGGCTGGTTATTTACCACGATTTTTTCCCCTTAACGTGTTGGAGGGTTTTTTTTTTTTTTGATTTTTTTGATTTTTGTTTTGCACCATCAAAACTTTTTTTTTTTTTTTTTTTTTAATTTTCAACATCACCACCACCACTACCATCAAATTCAATTTCAATTTTCAAATTTAAATTCACATTCAATTTACAATCACAACCACAATCACAACCACAACTAAACCCTCCACAAATGGCCACGTACGCCCCATGGTCTTACCACGCTTTCCTCAACAGACTCAAAACTTATACTTTTGCAACATGGACCGACATTGACCTAGATGATATCCCAATCGATATCCTCCATCGTATTCTCTCCGCAACAGCTTCCCCTGCAATCCCCCCCGCTCAATCATCCTCATCTTCATCCTCTACTCCAAATACTTCCCTCTTCCAACCCTCCTCTTCCCCATCCTCAACAACTGTCTCCCCACTCGTAGCCCCAGGCTTATCCTCCCATCATCCTTCCCCATCCCTCTCTTCTCCTTATAACCTCCTCCCAATATCTTCTGCATCCACAACTACAACAACATCCTCCTCATTAAGAGCCCCCTCTGCATCCCCAGGGCTTCTCCCCCTCACACCAGCTACTCCAGTCTCAACCCCAACTCTTTCCCTAACTCCAGTAGACTGTGCTGCCCATGGATGGGTCGCCTTCTCTGCTTTTGACAAACCTCAAATGCGCGTCGGCTCCCAAGATGCCGGCGGCGGTGTCCTCCGCTGCGTCACGTGCTCAAAAGTCCTCTCCATCCTGGTCCCCCTCCCAGATACAGCCCTTCTTTATTCACAATCCCAACACGACTCTGACTCCTTTAAACATCAAGTCTACGTCACCAAATCAATCATTGCTCATGTCCGTTCTCAGCTTAAAAATGACCACTCACCAACTTGCCCTTGGAGAAGACGTGCTGCCGCCTCTGCTGCTGCTTCCGCTGCTGCTGCTGCTGCTGCTACAACTACAACTACAACTGCATCAACCCCAGATTTAAATGCAAGCCCACCATTACTATCAATAGGCGGATCCCCACCATTACTCCCTACCACTAGCCCGGTTGCCATCAATACTCCCCCTTTAATACCCAAAAAGTCCAAGCGAAGTCCTGCCATCACTGCAATCGGATCCCCGGAACTCTCAGGAGTAGGAGCTCCACCAGCAGACTCAGCCATTCCTTACTACAAACGTCTTGAAGGTGATATCCCCTATAAAGTCGTCAAGGAATTCTTACAACGTAAAACAAAACTTGAAACTGCTCGAGCTCAAGCTTTGACTAAAGATGACCCGACCGCATCCGTCACAATCCTGCCAAACTCGGAACTCGACCGGAAAATGGAAACTTACGCTGCAATGGGGTGGACCCCTTATAAAGCTACAAAACCAAAGGAAACTTCAGCAGCTGCTGCAGCTGCCGCTGCCGCTGCCGCTGCTGCAGACCCCCGCAGACAAGACCCACAACAACCTCCATTGAACGACACAACAGCAGGTCCTACATTTCTCGTAGAGTGTGACGCATGTTTCAGGCGGATTGTGGTGGCTGCACGGGCCATGGAGGTAGTTCATTCACAGGATGGGGTTGTTGATTTATCTGCAGAGCTACGACAACTAGATGATGTGGCCAACTGGGCGCGTGAGTTAGAACTTGAACATAAACAGTATTGTGCTTACATTCATCCATACCGTAAAGAACGAATGGTTCAAGCATATGTTAAACTGTTAAGGTGTCCACGAGACCCGGTACCACCATCCACCAAGAAAAAAAGGGCAGCCGCAAGTGCAGCTGCTGTAACTGCAACCACAGAACCCCGAGCTAAACGAGGCAGTAGTGGTGCACACACAAGTCCTAACTTGCAAGACCCTCAAGCGGTAGTAGTTCAGACCCCGTCACCAAGTACAGATTATGTTAAGCAGCATCAACACCCGCACCAGCACCAACAGTCAACGGCTACAACAACGACATGTTTGGCATTAGATGGGATCTCAGTGCTACCTGCTCTATCAACATTATCTTCAGCCAATGGGTTGGATGATTGTGTAGAGCCACAGGAAGATGACGGTGGATTAGCTGAACGTGGGAAACGGTTAGCTAAGCTACACGATTTGTATAAGTCTTGAGGGGGTTTTTTTGTTGGGGCTGCATTGGGAGAAAGGAGGGGAGAGTAGTAGGTTGGATTAGAAAAAAAAAAAAAAAAAAAAGTCTATATTTATATTTATATAAATATATATATGTAGAAGTTATGTAATGAATTATTAATAAGTAATTTATTTTCATTCCCCGCATTTTTTTTTTTTCATATAAAGACCACCACCGTTTTTTTAATGGGCGGTTATGAGAATATATTGAGTGAGTGAGTGCATTTGGTTAAAATGGAAGGGGGGGAAGTAAAAAAATAATAAAAATAATAAAAAAAAATTAAAAAAATGCGCGTTACTTACGCGTGTTTTTCGTGTTTCTTTTTCTTTTCTCTTCTCTTATTGCTGCCACCATTATTTAACGAATAAATGCTAGCCAGCAAAAAACTAGCAAGATCAGCTTGTTCGAAATAAGACACGTGCGAAGCAATTGCAGTAAAAACAGAAATCTCCAATACACCACCTTGGAATGCGTAATCAAGTTGTCCAGTATGATTTAATTTTGATAATTTCTTATGCACGGCTTCTTGAGTCTCCTTTGGTAAACTATCAAAAGGTGCTCTTCTTGCAACAGCCAAAGATAAATCTTCTTGCTTTTGTTTAGACTTGTTATTGGTAGTTGTTGTTGTTGTTGTTGTTGTAAATACATTGGCCAAAGATGCCAGTGATGAGTTGCCATCAATTAAAGCTGCAGTTACATTAGACCATAATGATGTTGCTTCTGAAGAAAACCGAGACGCTAACTGAGAAAATTGAGCAAGTTGTGAGGGGAGTGTTCCTGGAGCATATGGGACTTTGCGTGCAGGTAAGGATGCAGCATCACGATGTACGAGTGGATCTACACGGTATGCCACTGGATCTGAAGGATGGAAAATATTATAATAATCTTTAACTTTAGGTGACTGAATTGCTGGCCATTGTGGGTCGTCTGTATTTTTTTGATGAGTATGTTCCTTTGACAAGTCATCATCATCATTGTCATCAAGTCTAGCTGCAATATGATTTCCCTTAAGTAATTGGAACATACCAACAGGTGAACCAACACCAAAGAAAATGTCAACATCAAAATCTAATTGTGGAGATCCAGGGATTCCTTGAGCACATAAAATATCAAATGCAATTGCTGATCCTAATGAATGACCAACAAGTGAAACTCTTGGAGCTTGTGCAAATGTAGGATTCCGTTTACAATATTCTCCAAACACACCATTAAGTTGTTTAACTACAGTTGTCATGATTTGTTCATGGTATTGAGGTTGATAATAAAGTAAAACATCTAGTACAACGTCGCCCACAATGCTTCGCAAAGGTAACACACCGTCTACATTGATATCTTCCAGCGACACTTCACCATGACCATTAACCTCAATATCCTTGCGTGTCATACCAAACTGTACATTATGTCGCCAAATGAGTGGGATAACTTGGATACCATGGCCTTGATCTTTTGTGGTAGTTGCCGCAGATGCCGAGTGTACTATTTTACCGAGGTTCGTTGTTGCCCCGTGACGTTTTTCCTGCAGTTCTGTTGATTCCTTATACACATGTCTTAATAGTTTCCGGAAAACATTAATATCCTGAACAAAATTGACTTGCTCAATCCGTTCATTAAGTTTTTGTCCAATCCCATGTAAACAAATTACCAGGTGATCAACAGGTCGTTCTACTGATAATGCTGCAGCTTCTGCAGCTGCCTTACCTAAATCAGAGGCTTTATCAGCAGCAGATGGCGGGACATAACCGCGAGTAAGTTTAATTCCACCAAGTGATACTAATTTCCTGAGTAAAACAGCACCGAGATCTCCAGGGGTAAGCCATGCTGTTCCACGTTGCATACGAGAAAAACTAGCGTATGCACGACCACTTTTTTTCTGATCAAGCATTTTTTGTAGAGCCTCTGAATCAGCGGCCCCGCGTGCTAATAAGGTTTCGACAGCATCTGGTTCTTGGGTTTGTAAAGAGGAGTCTTTAAGATTACATGCATAGACTGGTGATACTGATTTAAGGATATTATCTGGGTGGAGAGTTGTTTTGAGTGGTAGCATTGCTTGACTAGTTTCATTATCATCATTATCGTCTTTATTTTGAAGTTTATTATTGTTATTATTGTTATTATTTTCAGATTTTTTGGGTTCTACATTAGCGTAAAGTTTTTCAAGTTCTTGAGCTAATGGTTCTGGGATAGGACCAGTGGTAGAGCCATCTGCTACAAACCAAGATCCACGGCGGACCTCATAAGTCGGGCCATCCCAGTAAATTGGGTATAAAGTTCTTGCATGGACGTCTACTTCATAAAGGGCATCTTCTAGGACTGAGACTTTTATATTATTTTTTGAAGAGTCTCTACTTTGAGCCATTGGTTCTCCTTCATGAGATGATTTATTATTATTGTTTTTATTATTTGCAATTGGTTCTGTTGAGCGGAAAGCAGCTTCAAGCCGAGCCGAATCGCGTGCTGGGAATGGTACAAATTTTGCTGGTGGAGAAGACGGTTTCCAAGCTTTAAAAGTTGATTTGGAAAGAGGAGTATCTGAAGCATAATACCAATGGACTCGTAGAGGTTCTGTAGAATAAAATCTTTTGTTTGCAAGTAAAAGTCTAAGCATTTTTGGGATGTTGATGATGATTGAGTGAAAAAAAAAAAAAATTTAAAGTTAAATTTTGAGAGAGAAAAAAAAAGAGAAAGTTAAGAAATAAAAAAAAAAAAAACAGCAATAGCAATAGCAACAGTAACAGCAATAAAAAAAATTATTATTATTATTAGTTACTTAATGGTATGTTAATATATGTTACTTAATAACATTATAAAATTAACTTACCTGATATTTTAAAGTAAGCTTGCCGTATTCCCCGCATGTTTGTCACGTGAAACATAAAAATTTTTCGATTTTATTGTCGAGCCCAGCACCTTCCATAAAAAAAAATTAAAAATAAAAAAATAAAAAAATAAAAAAATAAAAAATTTAACGGCTTTTTTTTTTTTTTATTTTTTCTATAAAAAAAAAATTTAAAAATTTAAAAATTTAAAAAAAATTTAAAAAAAAATTTCTTTTCTTCCTTTTTTTTTTCTTTTATAAATAAATTTTCTTTTCTTTTCTTCTCTTTCTACTTTCTTACATTTTCCTCTTTTTTTTTTTTTTTCTTTCTTTCTTTCTTTCCATTTTATATAAAACATATCAAAAATCTTAGATTTAATTTAAAAAAAATAATTTCTATTTAAAAAAAAAAAAAAAATCTATTAAAAAACCCCCCTTTCAAATGTCCTCAACACTCGTCTCTCCACGAGTCTCACCTATGCCTTCACCGATGCTCCTTCCACAATCTCCAAGAGGTGCTGGGTTTTCTATTCAACAAGTAACTTCTTCAACAACATCATCATCATCATCATCAACATCTTCTTCTTGTTCTTCTTCTGTAACTTCTTCACCTGCCCTAGCCGCTATAGCAACACCCAAACCAGTTCCACGTAGACCTTCTTACGAAACTTCTACTTCTTATATCTCTCATGAAACTTCTTCTAATAACAAACTACTTCCAAGTAATTCAAACATTTCATTACTCTCTTTATCTTTCTCTTCAACACTCCATGATGACCAACAACAACAACCACCCATGGACTCACTTATAGAAGATAGACCTCTCCGCATCAAAACCTCAGGATCTCAAACCCCAGGAGCTTCTGCTTCAACACCAACATCCCCAAAAACTCCCTACTGGTACAAACAACATCTTACACCAACATCCTCCTTCACAAGTGCAAGCCAATACCTTAACTCAGCCCAACACCGCCGTGTAGGTCACTACCTCTCTTCTATGGCAGTAACCTCAGCAGTCCCCCAACCAGGGTCTTTGTCTCGTCGTGGGTCCACTGTAAACTTGGCTTCATCTCCATCTTCTTCAAACTCATTTTCATCAAACAATATCCCTACTCCATCTTCTCGTTCTCGAAGACCTTCCCATTCAAACTACCTACAGAATTCTACTACTACGACCACCACCACCTCCTCCTCCTCCTCACCAATTTACTTTGTACAAACACACCACCAACCCACAGGCTCAACCCCTTCTTCTGTTGCATCTTCATTTTTTTTGCTTCCTCCAGATTCTCCTAACTTGGGACCAATTTCTCTTTGCAACTCTCCCAGTAGTATGCTTCTCTCTTCAAGTGTATCCACAGTTTCATCTTCCACCGCTGCACCAAACTCTTCTGCATTTTTTGATTCTTATACTGCTCCAACCCAAAATAACATTTTTGACGTTATGTACTCTGGTGCAGGATCTTTAGCTCCTTCTCCATCAATGCTTACAGGGCCTCCTAAGCAGAGTAACATTAGCAAGACGTTTGGTAAGGCTGCCGCTGCTGCTGCTGCCGCTGCTGCTGCTGCTTCTTCTTCTTCTTCCAATACGTCTTCTTCTTCCCCTTCTTCCTCCACCACCACAAAGGTCTCTGGTAACCTTGGTAGATCACATGACATTCACCACTACCACAACCACAACCACCAAAACCACCACATTCCTGCTTCGGTGGCTTTTTCTTTTGCCTCTTCTGGTCTCGTCCAAAACGAACCCGCCGCGCCAGCAAAGCCTCTCCTAACAGTTTCTTCTAACTCTTCTAATTCTAATTCTTCTACCTCCTCTTCTTCCTCTTCTTCTTCTTCTTCTTCCTCTACATCAAGTTCAAAACCAACAGCAGCTACAATGACAAACCTTTCAAGAGACCCGCCACCTTTGCGCTCACTCAAACATGACGATGACGATATCAATGACACCCAACACAATGAAAATAATATTAAAATCCCCCCTCTCAAGTCTTCAGCAAATACACTTATGACCTCAGACTCAACTGTCCCCTCCTCCCAGCAATCAAGCCTATCAAAAGAACAACAAGACCGCGAAAAAGTCTCTAAAACTGCAGCAGCAATCACAGCAGCCCTTGAATCGGAAATCCGTAAACAGGCCGTCCCAGATTATCTCAAGGGGAAAGTCCTTGGCGCTTCTCATAGTAGCCCAATCAATATCCCAAGCTCTGTAGATTTAACTCCTGCCCAAGATCCTCAAGAACCTTCTACTACTTCTTCTTCTTCTTCTTCTTCCTTGGCAAACAAACCAGTCAAGAAAATTCTCACAACTGACTCCATTCTTGGTCATAATATCCAGCAGCAGCAACCACTCCGTGGTATAACAATCTCTCCAGATCAAAAACAAGCTCCACCTATTCCAGGAGTCCCACCAATCCAAACAAACCTCGCTTACTCAGGCTCTGCCTCTAGTCTTCGAGGAATGCTTTCACCCTCTGCCTCAGGAATCGGTCTTAATTCGGCCGCAATCGCAGCTGCTCGTCGACGTTCTAAACCTAATCTTGCAGGTCTCTCGTCATCATACGACCGCCGTGCATCTGCAACTAATCTTTACCAACAACATGAGCAGACCATTGATGAAGATACAGAACTTGTGTCTCCCATTGCCCCACAACAACAGCATCATCTCCACCCATCGTCTGTCGGCAGCGTTACATCTCTTCATACTCTTCCACGCACTGCTCCAGACTCACCGGAACTGGCCGCCATGTCGATGACTCCATTCGATTCAGGCCTCATGACTCCCATGACTCTTGACCCCCTAACGAGCCGTCACGCGTCGCTAGCATCAGTAGACAACTACTTTAGAGGCCCAGCTTTTCCTGTCACTTCAGTGGCTCAGGCTGCTGCAGCTGCTACTGCTACTTCTAATTCTAATTCTACTTCTACTTCTACTTCTACTTGTGCTACCAATGGCCCGGCCCCAGGCACATCTCCTGAAGAACTTACGTTTGAGCCTAAGCAAGTGCCAGCCAAAGGTGCTGCTCGGACGACGGTGGGAGGCGTCGGAAGTCTGTTACAAAGAGCTGGAATGGTTGCAACACCTGTTTCCGAGGCTGTTTCCAGGCCAGTGTCTTTTACTACTTCTTCTTCTGGAGAAAGTGAGACTGTGACCCCTGAAAATGAGTCCAATTGTACGCATTAAGTTTTGAAATGGGATTTGAAATTTTATGCCTATTTTTTTTATTATTACTACTACTACTATTATTATTATTATTTCATCATATGGAAATTATTATTATTATCATTATTATTATATTTGTAAATTTAGAATTTGTTTAAAATAAATAAAAATATAAAAAAAAATTGTATATTATGGGAATTTATATATAATCATTGTTTGCTCCAATTTTGGTTCTTGTCCAGTAGTTTTTTTTATTTTTAATTTTATTTTTATTTTTGTTTAGGAGGGAAGGAAAAGGGTTATCTGTAATCGGTTGGCCTATCTTGATAAGCCTTCCCCCTCCACATACACACACACATACACCTCCCCAGACTTTTGGTGGTGTGCTCTCTTGATTTCCCTCAAAACGTGTTGCGCCGACTCTTATTGGAGTGATTTTTGAAATGAATTTTTTTTTTTTTTTTTAGGCTACCTACACTTGGCAACTCGGCACGCGAACAAAAGGACAAAAAAAAATAAGTGGTGATGATGAATAGAATTGAAAATAAAAAAAATAAAAATAAAAATAAAAATTAGATGAAGATGAAGATGAAGATGAAGATAAACATTTAAAATTAAAAATAAACATTTAAAAAAAAAAATTTTAAAGATAGATTTTTATATACTAATATTAAAATAAATCAAAAAAAGGCCAATGGATTAAGAAAAGATTTGGCACGTGGGCACAATAAATATATTAGAAAAAAAATTTTTTTTCATTAACAATAACAATAACAATAAATTTTTACCAGGTAATTACAAAGAATGTGTTAAAAAAAAAAATTTAAAGTAAGTTGTGCAAATTTTTTATATATATAGCAAGAAAGAAAAGAAAAAAAAATTTTCTTTCATTTTTGTTGGGCGCCAATCATCATCATTTCAATGAGCCATATAAAATAAAAAAAATAAAAAAAAAAAAAAGAACAAAGAGGCAAGAGAAACAAAGGCGAGAAAAAGAAAGAAATTTTGAAATTTTTGAAATTTTTGAAAATTTTGAAATCGTGGCCTTTAAAATGTGATGTGGACTTGTTGCAATTGCAGCAACTTGTTGCAAACAAAAGAATAAGTTTTGAGGTTATTTATTTTTTTGGTTCAATTTTGTCACAAAATTGAATAAAAAAAGAGGGGTTCTTCAAAAGTTACAACAAACGTGAATAGTCTTCAAAAAAAAATTAAAAAATGAAATTTTTTTTTTCATTTTAATCAAAATTTTTGTTAATTGAAGTTTTACAATATTTACAAAAAAAAATGTCTTCTCACAAAGGTCCAGCGTCACATCATAAACATGACTCTGCTTCAAAAAATTAGAAGCATTCGACTATTTTCTAGCAAGAAAAAAAAATTTCTGATATAGGCCCATTTTTGAATCCGTGGACGGTAGAAGCAATATTTGTCCAAGGATCTTCGATTGAGCCAAAAAAAAAAAAAAAATAAAATAGATTTTCAAATTTTATAAATTATTTTTTTTTGAGTCTACAAAAAAAAAAAGGTAAAGGGGAAAAAATAGAAATAGCAAAATAAGAATTTTATTAAGTCTTATGTAAAAACACAAAGGAGGGTATACAACAATAAAAATATAAATATAAAAAAAAGAGGGTATTAATTTATGATCTTTCCAAAATGTATATTGGAATGCCATATATATAATTTTTTTCAAAGTCGATGTTATTTTATCAAACTGTTTGTTTTTTTTTTTAAAAAATGTTTTAATGATAATTATATGTGTCAAGAAAAAAAAAAAAATAAAAAGAAGAAAAAAGTAGAAGAATTTTGGTTTAAAATAAAAAAAAATTTTATTTTTATTTTAAACCAGAAATATTAAATCACGTGAATATTGTTTTTAGGGTTGGGTTGTAGCCCTAATCTTTCACGTGATAAATAAGGCCTAGTTTTCTATTAAAAAATAAAATTTGTAGGTATATTCATTTTTTAATACAATTAATCTATGGTAATCTCAAATAGTCACCATAAAAAAATAAAAAAAATCCATATATTCAAATAATGTCAAGAAATTATTAAATAATCAATTCACTGGGGGCTCTTGAAAGTTTGCAAAAACTTTAAAGTAAAAAAATAAAAAAAATAACTTAAGTTTCTTAAAAAAATATAAAAAGAAATGGGCTCAACCGGGAATTGAACCCGGGACCTCTCGCAAATTGCTTAGATTAACCCTAAGCGAGAATTATACCACTAAACCATCGAGCCATCACGTGAACAAAATTTTATAAATTACGTAAATATTCAAAACCATCAAAACTATATATTATGGGTTAGGGTTTATTTACATATAAAATTTTTTTTTTTTTTTTTTTTCTTTCTTTTAGTCTTTCAAATGATTGATCAGGTTGTAAAAAGAACAATTCAAGTTGATAAAAATTGAGAAAGATAGATAAAGCTGAAAAGAATTTCATGAAAACAGTGTGCACAAAGTGAGAACTTAGCAATTAACCAAATGTTTATCTAGTTTAGAAGGAAATGAAATTTCTATTAATCCAAAAATGTAACAATACCATAATACCACATCCAAGAAAAGAAAACAGAACTATCATTACTACAATTGATGCAAAAAAAGAAAATAAATAAATGATGGATGGCAATTCTAACCAAAACTGATAATGCTGACTTTGAATTGGCTTATACCCCAAATGATAAAGCCACAGAAGATGAAGAAATTTCTGGCAAATTCTTAACGAGATCATCGACAGAATAATGACCACATAAGAAAAGATTTTCCAAACTTGTGAAGTTTTAATACCCTCCCCCAAAAGATTCTGGAGATATGGCATTATTGTTGTTATATCAAACTGCAAGAAACCAAATTATTCAAGGCCATGAGTATACCGACTAATTTCCTTACTTGGGATTTTATTTGAAATATTGTAAAAGATTATACAAAAAAGAATAACCAAACTTATAACATCCTTAAGTAAGCTTTCTTTTACTAGAACAATATGGAGAAAGGTAAAAAGGCTATTGTGCTACTGACATTGTTTTGAAACTTTTTCAAGGAATTGAAACAAGCAAAAAAAAAAATAAAATAAAATAAAATAATTCCGCGGCTACGCTTATTGATATTCAAGAAGCATTTTATAATCATAATAGAAGTCTCCTGGCACATACAATGTAGGCATCAAACTACCCAAATAACTTATAACCTAAACTTATCAGTTTGTAAGTCAAAGAAAAGCTAGTATGCTTATGGTGTCGTACCATTAATGTTTTTTTCTATCTTTATCAAAAGCTAGAATATCCTTTATACCAGTTCTTCTCTCTTTTTTATTATTACATGACATCCCACAAACATGAATAAAATGATTTTTTTCTCTTGAAGAAGAGGGATTATAAATAATATCATTTATTTCCAAGAATAAAAATAATCAATCAATAAACAAATACAATTACCAGAAAAAACCAAAAATTGTTTATAAAAAACAACCCTTTCGCTTCTTTGCTGTTATTATTATTGTTGATTTTCTGTAAGGAAAACGCATTTTATTCATAATTAGTATTCTTTAAGAGAAAAGAAATCACTTTAGAGGAAATTTAGTCTCTTCATGATTTTGGTTCTGATTCATAAGACTTTGGTTTCGTTTATATTAATTGGAAACACAAGGACCCTGGCCATCTTGAAACACACTAAGTTGTAAGTGGGTGAATTCTTGTGATTTATGTAAATAAACAGTCACGAAATAACAAAAAGAGAGAGAAGTAAATAATTGGTATATTCTAGCTTTTGATAAAGATAAAGAAAACATTACTGGTATGACAATACTATAAAAAAAATTTTCAAAAAAATGTCACTTTAAGAAATTTATATATCCGTTTGGTTCAAGGTCTAAAGCTTAAAAGATGATACATTTATAATCTGAAAAAGTACCAACTTCACTCCAAAAGAATTAACTTCTTATTTTTACTTTGATTTCATTCTTTCTATTATTTTTTTTTTATCTTGAATATCTGGTTTAAGAAACTTTGGAGAAAAAAAACATGGAGAGCTTTTGGGAAATATATAGAAAAAAGAAGAAATAGTTATATATATATTTTTACCAATATTTGGTTCATTTATGATAAAAGGGTTTAAGCCTGCTTTTCGACTACACTTGAAAGTTGCTTTGTTCAATAGGGAGACTTATCGCTTGAGAATTGTTTCTAAGTCATACTATTTTTATACTCAGCACTGTAATGATCCAAAGAAAAGAGTCCGTGGAAATGAATAGGTTCTAGAATTCCCCAATGCTCTCTTATTTTACCTTTTTTTTTTTTTTTTTTGGAGAGGTATATTCCATCCCAATGTATTATGCGATTCAAGAATGAAATGAAATCCTTTTTGGTTTTATTAATGATTTGTTGATTGATTTTATTCAAGAATTATAAAAAATACCATCATCAATTTTATATATCATTGGATATATCTTTTTTGTTCTTTATTTATATATGACTTTCTATTTTTTCAATAAACTTTTAAGTTGATTTCAAGAATTTTTTTTTATTAATGATGTGACAATTATCGTTGAAAATCAAAATTGAAAAAAAAAAAAATATAAAACCTAAAGATGAAAAGGTGCAACTTGCTTTACCTTATAGAGAACTTTGTGAACCACAGAAAGAAGTAAAATTGTTTGGAATCAATTAAGAAATTTGGGAATTTGAAATGGTAAGATTTTTAAAAATAGAACCTAAAAGGTTGAAGTGATGCCGAATATGGCATTGAAAAGAAGTGCTGGTGCTTATTGTGCAACTCTTATTATGATATTTCAATAATCATAATCAGGTATGATTTATAGTGTGGATTATATTAATATATATAGATAGGAACAAAAAGCTATTGGAAAAAACTAAAATATTAGCAAAAATCAACCTTATTAATGGATATTTGTTCACTTTGATTGATAAATCACCAATTTTAAAGTTAACCATATTTTATGTGTTTGCGAAAGAAGACAGAGGTTAAATGATGAACAATAATAATAAAAATAATTGCA